CGCCATCATTTAATTGACTAAAGACTTTTAATCTAATAATTGTTTCTCAAACCACAAAAAATTATATTGAAGTAAAATTTATTCTAAACAACGCGAAAAGCTGACAAGGCTAAAACTTTAGAAGGGAGTTTATGTTACATCCAAACGATCTATTCAATCCTTTCAAGCCGTTATTTAGGTAGTGTTCTTCTCAATTCTAAAAAGCACACTTTTATTGAAAACGCCAAAAATTTTTAAGCAACCAGCTGATTAACTTAAAATCTTCCAAGGGAACACTCTAATTCAGGTGCCCCCACCGCCTACAGTAATAAAAGGTCGTCGAATCGACGGTGGGCCGCATATGATGCAGTTGAGTTTGGACGGTCGAAGACTTTACGTAACGATGACCTTATTTAGGTGGATTTATTCAAATATATCTTCATTTTCAAATTGTCTGCCTAAATCTAATCGTAGCATCAAATTAAAACAATAAGCTTAAGGTCATGGGATCAACAATTTTACCCGGATCTCAAAAAGACAGGTGGAGCCATGCTGTTGATTGATGTGAATCCCGATGGTGGAATGAAACTCAACGAGGATTTTCTGGTTCATTTTGGAGAGGTGAATGCATTATGAGAAATTTTAAGTTCAGAAAATCATCTTTTTTTTTTATTTTATTGGAAAACCTAATCATCTCAATTATAGCTTGATGGTGGTCCGTATTTGGGACATGAAATGAGATACCCGGGCGGTGATTGCACTTCCGATATTTGGATTTAATATTTTTATTAATAAACATAAAACCTAAAGAAGTCTGAAATTAAAATACCTAAAAATATAACAATCTCTAAGTCAAAAATAACAAATATTAACATTATAATAAAAAAAATGAATACTAAAAGAATTTTGAATTTTACCAATACTAATAAAACCACTTTCAAAAGCATTAATTTTCCTTTTAGTTGATTCTTTAACACTTAAAAAGCACTGTCCGTATTTGGGACATGAAATGCGATACCCGGGCGGTGATTGCACTTCCGACATTTGGATTTAATGTTTTTATTAATAAACATCTAATTTCGAACTGCAATTTTTGTTTTGTTCGCTTCTTTACCCTCTCACTTTCGATATAAATTTTAGCGTTAAGTATTAAAGTGGATTGAAATATGTTTATCCAGAGTGGCGCACAATTACCCGCACTCAGTTCAGATTCTCCAGGTTAGCGAAGAGTCAACCAATCGACCTAATCCCTTTTTTTATTATCAAATTGAATATTTCTCTTGCAAATGTGGTTTCTGGATTTGACCAGAAAAGTTTCTAAACTTTTGCTAGCGCGCTGCAAAGTTGCGACAAGCGTTTCCTGTGGCGGAATCGTGATTTTCTGCTTTTTGTAACTAGTTCAATGCCTCAATATCAAAGAAAACCAGCTTCATTTACTCCTTTTTACTTATGATTTCGAAAATCTAGCTCATTTTTACTAGAAAACAATGAATTTCGATTAGGAATCAAAGTTCAAAATATGAATTTGAACTGAGTGCGGGGTAATTGTGCGCCACCCTGTACTTTATTTTTAGAATTAGATTCAAAAAGAACAGTTATTTTTGCGACGACGCGCTTGAAGACACAGAGATCACCATTTTTTGTGATTTTTTTCTCACCAAGCAGCACCACGTATGACAAACTGAAACTGAAGCTACTAGTAGCTGGAGAATTCTCACCAAGTCATCAGGGTACACAGTTGTAGAAGCGCTGTGTAGACGATGAACTGCGCGAACGAGGCCAGATTTGCGTAATCGACCCAGTCAACGATCGACTGGGTGAGGTTTAGCGATAAGCCGGTCACAAGGTTGCACCAAATAGCTTCTGATGTAAACATGACATTTATATTCTGCAGAGTCATAGTCATACATCTCAGTACATTTCTCAACTATCGGCACCTGCCACACTGCCTGAGATAGGAGATCAGATTTTGGTAATTTTCGTTTGTAAGAAAAATTTGTGGAAAAGGAAAGAACAAGTTTGGCTATTTTTTTTGCTCAAATTTTCATGTCAATGTCAGAACTCTTGCATTTCTTTCGGCAAAAGAAAAGATAACCGAAAAGAGGTGCCAAAAAAGGTGCCTGTTCATGTAAAAAACACCTAGAAAGTCATAAATCTTTGGGTACACCTGGTGGAAAGGAACACAAATGTGTCTCTCAAAACAATTTACCCATTCAAGTTTATTCATAAACAGATTTTTGTGAGCACTTGTAAAGTTCAAACACTTAGATTTCTTTTGAAATTATTCAGATTCACTATTCACTTTGAATCGAAAATCTGTTTTTCGACTCTTTCGGTTCATCTGTAAACAGTTTCTTTATGAAATCGTCTATACTTGCTAGCCTCTTCATTTTTCAAAAACTCTATGGGCTTGATTTTGAGCCAGCTGATGAAAGTGAGGTGCTCTGGGATCAGCAATGGAACTCAAGGTTAGAAAGTTTTGTGTTTAATTAATATATGCTTTCTTGAAACTTCAGTTAGAAGTGATTTTTGGCTCTTGTCGAGAATTCAGGCATCTAGAAAGATTCGAAGACTTTAGAACCGATCGTTTCACTTTGAAAACTCATAATTTCTCACAGAGTTGAGATTTTCTTTTACAAATTATGTAGAAAAATTATTAGGACAGTTTGGCTTCATAATAAATTCTATTTAGAGTTTGATTGGACCAGCCCAGAGAAAATAACAGGCGCTCAGAGCCAGTATCTCGTTCGGTCTTTTCCCAACTCCTCCTTTATTTCCTCAGTTGTTCAATCAGTTTTCATCCTGAAGCCTGATACAGTCCTCCACAATGTTGCTTTAGAAGAAAGTTACCAATCTTCAAGTCCTAATCCTTATTCAAGAGTCATCTAAACCTTCAACAGCCAAGTCAGTAAAATTAATAAACGCACCATACTTTAGCTATATCCAAAAGGAGATTGGACAAAACTTGAGTCTACAATGTGCCAAAACTCGAAGGTTTGCTGAGTGAATTGCTGATGAATTTAAGATATTTTAACGGATTCCTAACCTTCTAGGCAACTTGTACCAAGAAACATAATTTTTAAAACTAGTTGGAGCATCTTCGTATTGTCGACTAATACAAATCTCGATGGTTTCGACTCTTCAGATTTTAATGACCGAATGGAAATAAAGCCCTACCAAGAGGTATTCACAAGTTATAATTTACAGGGTGGCTGAAAATTACGTGCTCGCAGCATCTGGCAAAGTTGTAAACAATGTATTGGGTTGGTGAACTGCGGGACCTTGAACTAAAATTTATTCAACATAAAGCCATGAATTCATTCCAAATAATTTCCATTATTATTGACGACTTCTGCCCATTTTACAGGCAATTTGCGGATTCCTCTTTCGTAGTAGGATTTTGGTTTGCGTGTGAGACAGGTGTGAGACTCAAAAATGGAGGACTGGAGAAGTTCCAGTTTGAGCACTTTCTTCAAAAGAAACCCATTTTGGTGTCAATAGAAAAGTTGTAGAGAATCAAAAATTAGGCTTATAGCCAAATTTTCAATAGCAATAGCCCGCAGTTTATGACAATAGCCCGCAGTTTTCAATTCACCAACCCAATATAAAGCATTACTATTCATCTTTTTGTGTTTTAATATTCTTTTTATCGTTGTCTATTAATTTTTCGTTAAAAAAGTTGTTTTCTAGGTCATGACAAAGACGTGTGCTAGTCGGGGCGCAATTACACAGCTTGCAACAAGCGGCATGAAGAACTCGTCGATCGCATCGAGGCTTGGGGTCGCTCTGAGGATCTTCCAGAAGATCGTAAAGTAATGGAAAGAGGAGGAACATGTTTAGTCCAAGTCCGGACGAGGACGAAAGAGGACTGTTAACACCCGAAAGATCATCAAAGAATGAAATAATCCAAGATGAGCTCGGACTTCGAAGTTATCGATTGTTAAATGGACAAGTGCTCACCGATCAAGCCAAGCAAAGCCGAAAGGAGAAATGCACGAAATTGTGAGCTCAAGGTGCGGCGCATTAATGATGTTCTTTGGTCGGATGAGAAGATTTTCACCTTGGAAGTGGCTAAAAATTCCCAAAATCACCGTCAACTTCTCAGTCCAGCTCTCAAGAGCACTCGCAAACGAAAAGTCGCTACAAAAAGCCTGTTTCCAAAAAGTTTGATGGTTTGCGGTGGAATCAGTGCTTCGGGCAAGACCCCGTTGGTTTATATCGATAAAAATGTGAAGATTAACGCAAAAGTCTATCAAAAAAGGAGATTCTCGAGAAAGCTGTGGTGCCCTGGAAAAGGAGCCATCCCAATTTGACCTTTCAACAAGATTGGGCGCCAGCCCACAGAGCCAAAACAACAATTCGCTTTCTCGAAACCAAAATTGGCTCTTTTTTGATGAAGCATCAATGGCCTGCAAACATCCCGGATCTCAACAGCCCGTTGGACTTTTCGGTTTGGGGTTTTATGGAAGAACAATTGAGAAATAGGAAAATCAACAATTTGAATGATTTGCGTAGAGAATTGATCAAAATCTGGAACGATTTAGATGCAAATTATCTCCGCCGCACCGTCGATTCTGTAAAGAAGCGAATTGAAGCCTTTATCAAAGCGGATGGAGACCACTTTGAAAATTTCTTGTAATTATTAAATGTTTTTGTTACAACTATTATATAAATAAATATTTTTACATGTTCTTTGCAAGAAAATTAAATTATGGCGTTTTCTTTGACACACTTAATTTTCAGCCACCCTGTGAAGCTAAATAGTTTAGGGTTCAATATTGCATATGCGTGATGTCAAGAGCACTGATACGGGAATGTACGGTTGTGCTGGTGATCGACTCGGGGAAGAAATTTATGTTTATGTTAAAGGTAGATCGGTGTAAAAATCGACAGGTAATAATTTTAAAATTCAACAAAAACTCTGATTTCTGAGCACTCGGAAATTGCTAAATTAAATTAACTTGTTTTCAAGCAATGTAAAGAGAGTCTAGATTCAAAGGGTTGTTCTTGTATGTAAAATTATGATTCCCGGTGCTGAAACTTTGTTGAAAAACGAAGGTGTCGTGACTGCTCTTCGAATCGGAGTCGATGGCATCGATGTGATTATTCCATTTCGAGTCACAAAGCCAATCAAAAGTAAAAGTTTCAATCATCAAAATCTAAAAACTCTCTAGGAGAAGACATTAAGCTGTTTGTCGATGATGAAGAGTGGATCGAATTTTGTTGGAATGAGCATAGTGTGTGGGTTTTCTTTGGGAAGAATTAAGCCATTTCAGTCAGTCATAGTCAACTTTTGTTAGAATCCCCACAGTAAGTCGAACTTTTGTTTAAACAAAGTTGCACACTTTTTATTTCTTTATGAGTTACTAACGAAAATAGATGTTCAGACAACTTTTAGAATTTTAGAGATTGGCTGAAACGCGGGGTGGTTGTCAGTGGATCGGCTCCGTCGTTCAATTGCTCTCCCATATGGCATTTCTATGACTCTAGGTCGTAATTTGCATAGTAAAATGTATTTTCGCAGTTGAAATACTATTCAAAACTCTTGAAAATCGATTTTGTTTCCATTCTAGTACTGCAAAACAAAGTTGCTTTGTTTTCATGAGCTTTTTAGGTAGATTTTGGTACATCTGAAATTGAATATGGGATCCGATAAATTTATCTCTAATAATTATCTTTTTCTAAAACTTTGAATAAGGCAAACATTTTGTAATTTTAGTCTCGGCTTCAACTTGTCTCCACTCGCTGATCGACTCGTTTGGAGCCAGTTTAACAATCGGCGATTTCGCTGTCAATACAAAAATGAAACAACTGACCTTTTCATTCAGGTAGATAAATTTGGAAATTAATGTATTTCAAGTTGCAGGCTGCCCAAATCATCAACATCTACAATGGTATTAGCATCTTTCTCAGATCTTTGTTCTCAGAAAATTTGAAGTATAGGTATTCGTTTTACGGCGAATTGCACTATGGAAAGTCATCCACCTTTATTTTTTGAAGCCAAGAAGTACGAGTTTAAACTCAAATGTCCGGAATGTGATCCAAGCAAAGATGGTGTAAGTTTATTGAATTGTTCACAAACCCTTAAGACAAATTTTAAAATTAGCCTGCAATCGATCATCTGATTGGAAGATTGGAAGATTTTAAAGTCATGGAAAATGTGGAAGAATTTTGGAAATCAGCAAAGCGAGATCATTCACAGTTCTGCAATTGGTGAGAAGTGATTTAGATCTCAATGTTTAGAGATGAGTATTAGGATTGAGCAGTTGATCAATGGAGACGATTTTCGTTTAAGAACTCCGTCTCTCTTCGAAATTCCTCCAGGAAAAACCTCGACACAAGAAATTCGAAATTCATGGGTAAAAAGACAACTACAACTAAATAAAATTATTAGCACTATAGTTAATAGTATACCCATATTCATGGGTCTTTTTGGGTTGGGCAGTCGGGCCAGTTCATGTCTGACCGACCCGAAAAGGTCAAATTTCGGATCAACCCGATAAGTCATTTGTCTGATTCGATTACTTGAGTTCTACTATCCTCAATTATTGAAATGAAGCAATTTTCAAATTTAGTTCACTGGACCGCGAATTGTGATAATTGTTATTCTATTGCTTCTTCTCTTCTCTATTTTCGTTTTTGTGGTCTTTCGGCTGAAAAAGAAAAGAGCCCCAGTGAGACAAGAGAGCATTGAGCTTCTCCCAAATCCAAACTCATTTGAACAAATTCTAATCGCTGGTGGAGCTTATGGAAACGTACTTGAATTGGTCGGACACACGCCGTGAGTGCTCAAAATTTACACCCAGAAAAGAATTTCTAGACCGGCTGTGATAAAATACTTACACTCGATGTCCGATCGACATCAAATCGCCTTTCGAAAAGAATTCGAAATATTGATGAAGTTAAATCATAAAAATGTTGTCAGTCAAATAAGAATGGAGACAAGAGACGGGTCGAACCAATTTGGAATCATCATGGAATTTTGCCAACGAGGAAGTCTGAGAGATCGTGGGGTTGATTTGAAATGAAACTTAGCAAGAATCTTCCAGTTTTGTTCAATCCGGAAATAATTTACACGATGAGAACGGTGATTACTTGGGGAGAGCAACTGTTCGATGCTCTTGATCACATGTTTTTAAGGCACAAAATCATCCATCGGGATATCAAGCCAGAAAAGTGATCATTATAGTTTATCATACAATAATTTCTTCAGCATTTTTGTCACATTGGGTTTTGTCTTGAAATTTGGCGACTTTGGACTTGCAAAGTATATCGAACAAACTTGCACTGGGACAGCAATGGGCACTCAACGCTATATGAGTCCTTTACAATCTGGCAAGAGTCAAGAACTTCCAGTTAGTGAAAAAGAGCCTTTGAACCAAAGCTTTGTAGTTAAAGATAGATAGATAAAAAACTATTAGGAGAGTTTATGATCCTTAACTTTTTCAGGATTCACACCGAAACGACGTGTACAGTTTGGGACTTGTTTTTTGGGAAATCGTTGAGAGAAAGTTTGACAATGGAAAAATAATTGAATTTGAATGCTAGACTTGTGTTCTCCGAATATGGCAGTCATGGAAGTTTCAGTCGGGAGCGTTTCATTTCCGATATCATACACAAAGAAATCGAGAAGCTTATCTCTGCAAACTGTCAGCCAGAAGTGCAAAGAATCATTGAAAAGTAAGAAATATTATCTTGAGTAGAACTGCTTTGCAGGGTGTTCATAAACTTAAAACAATCTTAAAACAACTGCTTGCTTCATTGATCGAAAAAGGTGATGATCTTTTAGAGAAACATAAAAACGGAGTGTCGAATGAGGGAGAAGTTTTGAGTCCAATCCTTCAAATTTCTAGAAGGATGTCGCTGTCAAAGTCTGCTTTTTGACTGCGTGTCGAAAGTTGTGAGCGCAGCAATGATCTCAAAACTTTAAGAATTGATCAAAACATTCCCATATTTTTCACCATGCTTAAGTAAGACAAATCAAACATTTCAGTTAGTGGTTATCTTATTCAATTCGAGCCTCTATATCACGCAGCATTGAACTTTTGGTTGACCATCCTTAAGACTTTTGAAAATTTTATTGCATAGGCCAAATCAAAAAATATTTTTGTGGGAACCCATATAAAACATTGTGTCAGTCAACAGAAATGACTACATGATCTTAGTGTTAACTTTATTGAAATGATGAGCAATATAAAGATCAAATTTCTAACCTAACAAACTATGATAAAACAATAAGACCCAGTCGGATGATTCAAATCTAAGACAGACAAACGAGCTTAAAACACGGCAAGCTATTTCATTTGGTCTGATTAAGGTTTGATTTTCTAAAGATTGGAAAATCTGATTGTGTTTCTGATTGAGTATTTGCTATGAATGTGTGAAATAGTACCTGGCAACCCTTAAACTCAATGAGTATTGGCAAATTCCTTAGCCGGCCAGTCAGTTACAAATTTCCAAGTTTTCATCTAAGATTTTTATCGAGTTCTACTTGAACTATAAGCAGTTGATCAGTTCTGAATAAGCAATATGTAAATGCCTAATATTTTATGTCTTCGCTAAAGTTTCTCATTTGCAGATGTGCCAAATTTGAGCTTGACAAGAGACCAAATGCCAGAGAGATTCTCGAGATGATCTTATTGATCATTCAAGTGAGACACGAGTGTAGATTTCAAGCAAAAACTTCTAGAATGATCGATTTATCGCGGATTTGGAACTTTTGCCAATAGAGGAAAACCAACAGAAGATAATTTTTCGCCCAATCGGCTTCGATGGAACGAGAAATCGGGAATCGATCGAAGTGATCACGACAAAATTCGATGATCTTCTTCCGCATCACGCAAACAACGAAAACGAAGAAGTTGACTAGCAAGTTGACACCAATCGAACTAGCATTTCATTTTTTTCCATAAAGTTCAAAAATAAAATTTTGCTATGTTTATCAAATAATTATTCTAATTTTACTAATTTTACTAAGTTTTCGTGGCACTAATTGTCGAAATTTTCTCCTTTTCTGGCCAAGTTTCTTTGCATTTTTGGAGAAAAATTATCGAAGTGACACTGAATTTGGAAATTGAAATGATAACAAGCCAAAATCTCACCTAGAAACAAAGCAAATGCAAAAAATTTGTATAAATACGAGAAAATATTGATAGACATTGTTGATATGCTGCATGGGCCAGAAAAAAGATTGACCAGTATAGAAAATAGTCGAAGAAAGGGTACTTGTGGAGTATCCGGGGGGGATTTTTCAATATCCGAGGTGGTAAAATTTTATATACGGTAAAAACTACCCCTTTTAAAAATATCCAGCCGCTTAAGTTATTTGGTGGCAAATTCCCTTCAAATGTAAAGATATTCAATTTATTCGAGGTGATTACTTGATTACGTGATTCGAGGTGATACTCGATCAAAAACGTAACTTCTACAAAATTTTTTTATGTCATTATTAGAAATGTTGATACTATCCTAGTTGGCGGGTCACTTTTTTTTCTTCAAAACCATTTTTTGGGGTAGTTTTATGTGTTGATGTGGGTCCGGCAGATGCCCAACCCACATGTGGTTTTGAAGAAAAAAGTGGTCCCCCAACTAGGATACATCAAAAGTTTTTTTTCAGAATGCGATATTCTGAAGTGAGCGCACTTTCCGAGCGTGATGCGATTGATATTTTTGTTCAAGCAGGAATCCTTGCAGCACCGGCATGTGGATGTGGTCGTAAAATAAAGATTTCGCAGTAAGGAGAAGGATGTCTATCGTTGGGAGTGTGACAAGTGTACCCGTGAACGAGCCAAAGGAAATAGAGCAACAAAAGGCATGAGAGTAAACAATTTTTTTTCGCTTTCACACCGCCCATTCCACGATCTGGTCAAATTTTTGTCAATTTGGAGCTCTGGACATCACTCGATCGATTTTCTCAAAGACAAATTGGAATGGGTCAATAACACAACGGTTGATTGAAATTAGTATATGCGCCAAGTATGCGCTTGGATTGTATCAAGAAAGCAGCAAGGACAAATTGGAGGCCCTGGACTCACGGTTGAAATTGATGAGACGCTAATTGCAAAGAGAAAAAACCACAAAGGGAGAATCGTACCAGAAAAGTGGGTATTTGGCGGTATATATCGTGAAACGAAATCATATTTTGCCGTCATTGCGCCTGATCGATCCTCGGAAACTCTCATTAGAGAAATCCATCGCTTTATTGCGCCAGGTTCTCGTATTCTTTCCGATGGATGGAAAGCATACCGTTCTTTGGCGAACGACAAACAATACACTTGGGGATGGGTAAATCATAGCGTGAATTTTTTGGATCCGAAAGATGCGACTATCCATACGCAAACAATAGAACGCTTCTGGCGACCTTTCAAAGATAGCAATCGATTTCGTCATGGAACCCACGAACACATGATTGAGTCATGGATTGCTGAAGGACTCTGGCGCCTTAGTTTGCCCAAAGGCGCGGACGCATTTGAGCAAATTCTCAAGGATATTGCTTGTTTCTGGCCTCCTGGCCTAGAAGTAAATTCGATAGATTTTTACAAGTAGTATTCATTGTCACTGTTACAAATAGTCACTGTTGTACTTCACATATTTATTTAATTATTACGCCAAAAAGCGCTTAAAATGCTTAAAACTTTGCCCATTGATAAGATTTTTTAAATCGTAGAACAGATCTGAGGAATCTTTGAAGATTTCTACCATTAGAAACCTTTTACCAGTCCATCAATTTCATCCGGTCAAAATTTGCTCCTAGTGGATTATCATACTCGGATTATCATACTCGAATCCACGAACTTATTAGGCGCTTTAAATTTTCATGTGACCTATTCTAATGACAAATTTGTGTTTGATAAGTATCACCATCCCACCATTTCGCTACAAAATTTCCTTATTACATGCTCTCTATTTATTTTAAACACATTTGCTACCTTCTGCCGTTCATTTTCTATTTTAGATCTGGTCTTGTCCGATTCCCCTGATGTTATCATGGAGTTGAAGCGATTGGAGCCTCTTCCTGGATCTGACCATTATGGGATCACGTTCAAAATTGGAGGACTGCAATTTTCGACTTCTCCGCGGAAAGGTTGCGTGCATTTTGATTTTAATCCCGACCAAGCGGCTCTTTCCTTCGTAAACTCCCTTAGAGGGAGCTCTTTCTGCTCTAGGATAAATTCTATAGATGATGACTATAATTTTTTCTCTTCCAAAATCCTCGTTGCCATAGAAAACTCCTGCTCGCGCCCTGTAAAATTAACCCCGAATCATATTACGAGAGCTAAAGCAAGACTTCGGCATTTTTTTGAAGAATCTAATTACGCAAATCCTCTGGTTGATCCACTAGTAATCAAAGAACAGGGCAAACTCTCGAAATTTTGTCAAAAGCTTGAGTCAAACATTGAAAGGGAAGCTGTTTATTCGAAAAACAGCAAGTCTTTCTTCTCCTATTTAAATTCTAAAACAAAAGATCCAAAGATAGTCTCCAATTCTTTCGTTGATCCCTTAGGTAGTACTAAAATTGTTTCCAATCCCAGTACAATCGTCACTGAGTTTGCCAAATTCTTTCATAGTGTATATACGGTTACAGATAAAAACGAACAGTGTCCGGCCTTTCTGGTAAAATAAATTGACGTGCAGCCAGATTTCTTAATATGTGTAGCGAACATTGAGGAAGCTTTTTATAAATTACGGCCTAAAAAGTCGTCTGGTCCGGATAGCCTCTCAGCTTTAGTTATTCTCCTTCTCAAAAAATCTATTAAAAGCCTTTTCAGTAAGTATCCTCCCA